AATTAAAATGTGATTTTATGTGAGAGTTTTTTATTGTAATTAAAAAATTAAATGTGATTATTTTTAATAATTTTTTATTATAATAAAATTAAAATTTTAAACTCCATGTGTAGTGATAAAAACATTTCTTGTTAGTCTGTCTTGCTTTTTCTAACTTCGTCAGCTTCGAGTCTGACCATGGGCAAACCGGGTTTTGTGCATATAAAAGGCTGACATCTACTTTTCATAGAGAAAGTGTTTAATGTATTATTCTATTCTATTATTTTTTTTGTAAGAATATTTATATTATTCTATTCTGTTGGGTTTATCTGAATGGATGTGGTGGGTGTGGATGGCATGGGGTCAGATACATAGTGGCTCAGAGATTCCCAAATGGTAGACGTCAGAGATCTCCTTGGAGACAAAAACTACTGTGTAAACTGTAAAGAAGGCCTCATTTTCTGTGGGTCCAAAACACACTCAGATATCAAGAACCCTTTTCTTCTTACAACTAAGTCCCTACCAATCACACCGTACATTTCAATCAGATCAGAGACTCCACTAAAAATCCCAATTCCTAAAACCAGTGAAGCCCCACTTTTCCTACTCACAAAATTCAACGTCCTTTATCATTATTTGGTTTTGACTCATTACACTAACAGACCAGTACCTGCCCTGCCCACGTACGGTCACTCTCTCATTTGCTTTTCCATTTTTCTCTTGTCTCATTGTCACAAATTTTATTTTGTTTTTAAGAGTTTATCCGGATAAGTTAGTTAACATCACTTGAAAATTATAAATAAAATATTCAGCACGTTCACTTCGTAAATTTAAATTTTTAATTTAAGTTAAGATTTAATATTTTTTTAAAATTTTTAATTATAATAAAAAAAATTAAATATAATATTTTTTAAAAATTTTTAATTATAAAAATTTAAATATGTAAAATGAACTATGTCTTAATTTATTAAAATTTAATTGGTAAAAATAATGCTTGCCTTTTTTTTAGAAATTTTTTTTGTTAGAGCTTCATCCGTACTAATAAGTGTATATTTTTTTGATTATTGAATCCGATTAAAATCACGATAAAATTTAAAAAAAATGTAAAATACATCAATTTTAGTACAAATTAAACAATTGAAATTCATTTTTCCAGGAGTCACTGTAAAAATTTCCTATAACTTTTTTTTTTTAAATTTTTTGTTTAGTTTTTATCCCTAGTAATGAAAAGGGTCAGTGTTTTTTCTGTAGAGGGAATTTGTCCAGTCAATCACGCTTTGACCATCTCTGCGTGTACGCCATTTGTTGTACATCGACACGCGCACACTTTGTTAATTTATCCCATGAGTTCTGTTGCGGGACTTATGTCAACAAAATTGTCATATGATCCTAATGAACCGTTAATTAATCGTGAGAGTGTGAATTAAGAGTCTGTCTGGTTCATAGATTAAAATTATGAGATTAAAATTATTTTTGATTTACGTATATTTTTGTGAGAAAAAATACTGTAGATAATTATAAATCATGATTTAAATCAGAGAACGAATTATTCAACCAAAAGAGCTCTAAGTTATTGCTTATGTGTGTTTTATAGTAAACTATAATTATGTTGCAAAGACGCTTTCTCAACATTTGATGTGGAAAAGAACAAAAATGCTTAAGGACTTGTTCTTTTGGAGTTTAACTTGAATATAATTTTTGAGTTGAATTTGAGTTATAACTTGAGTTGAACTTGTAACTTGAGTTTGTGTTTGGTTGTATACATTTGAGTTATGGTTTGAGATAAAAATCTTTTTGAGTTTGTGTTTGAGTGAGTTAAAACTTGAATTTGTATTCAGATAGTATTTTAATAAAAACTCAATGCTGATGAAAAATTTTAATATGGTATATGGGTCAGGTTTTATTCGTCTTTTCGTTGTCAACGCATAGAAAAAAAAATCATCTCAATCAGAATTAAAACGAAAAAGTTATAGCATTTTTAAGAATAGAAAAAATAATGTTCATTAATTTGAATTCGAATTTCTGAACTCAAGTTGAAGGGGAAACTTGAACTCGAGTTTTAATCATAAATTCAAGTTTAAACTCAAATTTAAATTTAAAAAAATATGAATTCGAATAAAATTATAACTCAAGTTATATTTTTTATTAAACTTAAATTTAAATTTAAAAAAATATGAACTCAAATAAAATTATAACTCAAGTTACATTTTTTAAAATTTTTCATTTAAAAGAAGAAGCTAAGTAAAAGAGAGAGAGAGAGAAGGAAAGATAAAAGAGAGCTGTATTGTTAGCTTTCGGCGTTACACTAGTCCCTATACTGAATACTCTGCTCGTGTGGTCACTACTTGAAAGTGAAACAAAGGCATTTTCCTTAAACTCCTAAAATTAAACTTCAATATCAGGGACTTGGGAATCCCCCCCATTGGGAAAGTACTGAAATTACTCTATTCTAATCCAATTAGCTCTGAATAAAATTTTGCAGTGTAAATCATATATAAGAACCAACGGCAGTTTGGTTAAATATTTTGTATTCAAATTTTTTGTAAGTAAAAGAAAAAATACCATAATAAAATCAGAATTATAATTTTAAACACGTGAATTAAATATGTCATAATAATTTTTTTAAAGTGTACGTTTCCAAATAAGAAAATGGGATTGTCCTCACTTAATGGTACCCATCTAATTACCGAGTAGCAGGGCAAAAAAAAAAAATGCATAAAAAATAGATATGGTATAGACTCCACGTTTCAAAATATTAGTTCTATGAATAAAATATTTTTTCAATTAAAAGAAACGAAAAAGGGTTTTTTTTTTTTTTTTTTTTTTTTTTTTTAAGCAATATTCAATGGGGTTTGACCTTTGAGGCAAGGGAAAGGTGGTGGGGCGTGGGACTAGACTGGTGTACTATGGGACTGAGGTGTTCCAGTAAAAGAATTTTATTTATTTATTTACTTATTGCTAGCTAGAAAGGTACATGTAAAAAGATTAAAGGCAAATCTTGGGATCGTTTAAAATGAAAAAGGAGAATATATATGGACCATTGCAAATGAATGATGAATGAAGAACATTAATGTGGATGAAGTTTGGTAACAAGACAGATTCACCTGTAGTGTGGGGACATGAAGCCTTTCTCTATCATACGTCTGGGACTGGTGGGGCTGTTTTGGTTTTGGATTTCGATATTCCAAATAAACGTTTCTTTCACTATGGTTGGCCTCCTTTTTTTTTTTTTTTTTTTCCCCTTCAATCATTATCATGCTCATCTCGAAAAGGGTCTCCTTCATGCTTCAATTATTATTTCCACTTAATATATATATATATATATATGTATTCTTTTCCTTTTGTTGTCTCACATGGGTTTTTAACTTTTCACCATTGGTCAAGAAAAAAAAAAGTTGTCTTCCCATAACGACTTAGCTAGATTATTTGAGCATTTTCCTTATGCTGAGAATACGAAATGCAGGTACAAACGACAATGTCTCACTATTCAAGTAAAAATTGTACTATCAGATAAAAAAAAAAGGTAAAAGTGTAGTAAATGAGTAAAAGGTTAAATTTACCACTTAAATTTCATTTTTCATATGTGTATACCACTTAAATTTCATTGGACGATTTTAAGCTTTTATTAGGTGACAATTGATACCTAACATCTTTTTTTTTTTTTTTTTAATGGCAAGGATATTTCTTTTGATCAATGACTGCTTATTAAGGTTTCGTTCACTTCGTGGATTTGAGTTTTTAATTCGAGTTGAGATGTGATATTTTTTGAGAGCTTTTTACTGTAGCAGAAAAAGTTAGATGTGACATTTTATGAGAACTTTTTACTGTAAAAATCTAAAATTAAAAATTTGAATCGGTGAAATGAACGAGGCCTAAAATTTAGTATGCACCACATAAGAAGAATAGTATATTGTTCTTAGTGAAGAGTCTAGTAGTACAGATGATATTTTGACTCCATAAATGATAACCTGCCACGCCTGCTTGTGCTTGCAGATAAGGGAGTGGATTAGTTCAGTCAAGAACAAATTATCATTTGGAGCACTGGCAAAGCCCGTGAAAGAAAGTGTAAGTGGGTGGGAAGCAGTGGGCCTCAACTGATGGACATGTTCTGGCCCATTTGTAATCGAGACAGTTGGCAAGGCTGTTGGCAGTCCTAGCCAGATGAAAGGTCCAACCAACTTGCAGAAGTGGGACAGCTTAAAGCCTAGCCGAATTGGGTTTTGGGCTCAAAGTTTTGGATGACGGCCCATCTTATCTTGAAGAGCAAAAACCAAGGGCTGGGACTCATAAAGTACAGGAAATTTAATTCTCCTTTCATTTTCAAGTCTTAAATTCGCGCCTGCCCACATATTGTTGATAAAGTTCCGCAAACTTGCTACATTTACTTCAGATGAGATGTTGGGATGAAAGTTGGGTTTACTTCACATGATGTTGGGATTTGGAAGTTGGATTTAAATCTACGGTCTAATTTTTTTTTTTAATTAAAATTTGACACCTTATTTATTTGTTAAGTATTTTCAGTATTTAGTAAGTATAATGAGATTACATTCTTAAATTTAGCTAAAATTATATATTTACGTTGGAGGGACAATAAATGAAACTGAAAAATTAGACAACATATTTGAAGTGGGTCTCCCTATTTCAAATCATGCCTCAATTTTATTATATATATATTTTTTTTCATCTTCCATGTCTTCAATCTTACTACATTATAATCTTTGATGTCTTCTTGTAAAATGAGCAAATATTTAAGGTCTGTCCCCACTATCATTCTCCTCCGAATGAAGGCAAGAGAGGTAGAGAAGATATTTGGGCATTATGAGGAAGATAACATACCCAAGTGTTTTTGGCAAAAAAAGGGTCCAACCTAGAACCTTCCATCCAATCAAAAGCCATAAAATTCCTATCCAACGGCCATGTCATCACATTATCCAGATGAAAGAGGAATGAGTGGCTGTGCACCTCCAAACTCGGAAGAACAAACATTACCTTGCAAAATTATCAAATCCTCCAAAACAGTTTTTTTAAAGGAAAAGAAAAAAAAAAAACCATAAAGTAAAACAAGCAAAACCACAGAAATAAATTAAAAAGCTTTATCACATCATAATTCAATTCCCATTCTAGTGGCCTTAGAATCTCTCACAGGAAACAGAAAAAAAGAGAGGAAAATAAGAGTAGTCTTGTATAGAGATTCTGAGTGTCATGGCTTCCACATCCTCCTCTGCTCTCACCATCTCTTCCTCATCCAGCCTTGTTGACACCAAGGCTCCTCGCCAGTCGGCTGGAGCGTCTCCGCAATGCGTGACACTCCCGACACTTCCTCCGCCGCCCGTGCAGTCTCAGAAGCGCCAATGGAAGAGCACCGCTTACTGTGAGAGCCATACTAACCAGATATTATAGCATCATAACCTTGTAGTAAATGAAGATGACAATGCTGATTTTGTTTGTTGATGATGTTTTGGTTTTAGGCCGTAAAATTGCTCGCAATGTCATTGCCATGGCCACCGGCGAAGCGCCGGCGGAAGTCGCAACAGCGGAGACGCCAGAGATTGTCAAGGCCGCTCAAGAAGCTGTACGTTATTTTATTTATTTATTTTTGGCGTTAGTAAAAAATTTATCAAGTCGTTTTAATAATATCATAATTTGGCTTGGCTGGTCAGTGGGAAAAAGTTGAAGACAAGTATGCAGTGAGCTCGCTTGCCGTGGCTGGTGTTGTTGCACTTTGGGGCTCCACTGGGCTCATCTCGGTGATGATTTTACTCCTAATTAATGAACATTTTATATTTAAGCATATGATATATAGTTCTTTCATATATATATATATATATATAAACTGCATCATATTAAATTTCTGAGAGATGAGCATCATTTGTAACAGGCAATTGATAGGCTACCTTTGATTCCTGGAGTTCTTGAGCTTGTAGGCATTGGATACTCTGGGGTAAGTGGGGATTTTTTTTTAAATATTTATTTTTATTTATTAATAGTATAAGCATTTCGGATTCAAAATCAGTGTTCTTTTGCTCATTGATCATGTGTTAGCCCATGAAAGATTGGTGTTTTTCTTATTCTCTTGACCCCATATTTCTTGTCCATTTTACAGTGGTTTGCATACAAGAACTTGGTTTTCAAGCCAGATAGGTAACAATTGGTTTATTTTTTTCTTTATATTTCTCCAAAAAAAAAAAAAAAAAAACTTGGTTTTCAAGCCAGATAGGTAACAATTGGTTTATTTTTTTTTTTTTTTTTTTTTCTCCAAAAAAAAAAAAAAAAAAAAAACATACTAACACAATTTTCATTTCAAATGGTCAATGAAATTTTCAGGGAAGCCTTCATACAGAAAATAAAAGAAACATACGAGGAAATTACTGGGAGCAACTAGAGGATCCTTCAAGAGAAACGCTGCTGAGATTGAGTTAAGAATTTCCGGTTTTTGAAGCAAATTAGTGTCTCAGAGCATTGTGCGTAAATATGTGATCACATCCTTTGTTTTGTGGATCTTATCTAGCTTCTGACCAGAGTAAGTCCATGTAATTTACTTTTCTCTTCCGAGATACTTGTAACTATTTGTCTCTTTATTTCACTGTAAGCTCCATGTAATTGGAATAATAACTTTGTTATGTACTCGGAAGGAAAAGTTCATCAAGTAAATTTAGTAAATAATATGCGGATTACCATATGCAAACTTTATATTAGTCTTTAAGTTTAGTGTGTTTGTTAAGGGGGTGGAAAAAAAATATGCATTTGAACTCAAGATAAATTATATAGGCACATTTTGGTAATGGGTAACTAGTCTACTTAAAAAACTCCATAACCCAATAGTTAGTGACAAAACATTCAAATCTAATGCCACTAAATCCTGCACCAACTGCTAAAGCTACAAATTCTTGTTGGCTCCTCTCCTTCCCTCCTGGGTTTTGAGTCATCATACCCACATCAAATTGGAAGGCGGTCTTCGCAGCAGAACTAGTTCCTGACACCGGAAGAATCGCCTCTACAACTATAACCTTTCCATCATCTGGAATAGCTTCGTAACAATTCTTTAGTAACTTCAAGCAATGCTCATCAGTCCAATCATGAAGTATCCACTAAAAAAAGAAAGAAAAAACATTGATGTATGTTAGTGTGAGCTTATTAATATGCATTGCACAAATTATAGAACTCACCTTCATAAAAATGGCATCCCCACATGGAACACTTTCGAACATATCTCCGCCAACATGTTCAACACCTACAACATCAATAAACTCCAATTTAATAATACACCGTAATCAAACGGTATTGTACTCATCGAAAACATACGTTTTAGTGGAATAAGACAATGATCTTTTCTAAGTATTGTAGTTTAGAAGAAGAATTAGCTGAGATAAAACAAACAAAAACCATACCAGGATAAGATGGCGCCTGCCCTATGACATGAGGCAAGTCGAAGTTAATACCCTTGATATGTGGATATTTGGAGATGATTTGATTAAGGGTCACCCCTAGACTCCCACCAACATCAACTAGTTGCTTAAGATGCTCAAAACCTTTGTAAAGATTGAGGATGCTCTTAATAACAATAGTGGTGTGATTGTACATTGCCGCGTTGAAAACGCTATTAAATCTGGAGTCCACGCCCGTATACTCGAAGGCATGCATTCCATGTACCTTGTTGAACGGAATTCCCCCTTCAAGAACAGCATTTTTTAGCTGGGGCCTGTAATTAATCAGTGTAATTAATTATAGTCTTGAATATTATTTTAACAAGTACAATTTTACTACTGAAAGTTGGAAGTAGAAATGTTGTAAATTGGTTGCTGAAAGAAATACTAAGGAGTCATTCGTTTCACGGATTTGAGTTTTCAATTTGAGCTAAGATGTGACATTTTTTTAGAGTTTTTAACTGTAACAGTAAAAATTAGATATGATATTTTCTGATAACTTTTAACTGTAAAAACGTAGAACTTTAAACTCAAATCGATAAAATGAACTAGGCCTAAACAAACAAAACGTACCAACTCTCGAAAGAGACCTTGTCTTGTACCAATGCCACGAAGGGGCCCAAGGAAACGCCATCTTCATTCGTCACAAAATACTTGGACACAGGACTTAGGCTGTAGAGCCATTGGAAATTAGACCCAATATCACCATTATCACCATCCAAAGAGCAATTGAGCACAGAGTGGCTCGCCAACAGCCTGAGGATGCGATCAAGCATAATGGGTGCCTCAGGGTTGGTGGTGGGCAAGTGAGCCGCGATCTCCACCGATGAGAGCTTAGCTCCTTCACCGGCTTTCGCTATGATGTCGAAAACTCCGAGCTCAAATGCAGATTGTAGAGACATAGACAGCACGGTCGACGTCGCTAGCTGCATCGCGTAGGAGAAGAAGTGTTCTTCTTGTTCTTCTTCTTTTCTTTGATCGTCAACGACTTTTCGAGTGTTTCCCAGTTCCAATGGCGACGCCATTGCTTGAGATTTGCAAGGGAAGCTGTGTTAGTTGTTTATGACAGACACTTTATGATAATGATCTCCAACACCGCCGACGAATTATATATGGTTCGAAATTGTAGCAACTTTGTCTGCATTATTGGTCATGCTTTTGTACTCCCGCCAATTAAGGACAAGTAATTACACTAATTTAAGAAGGTAAATAAAGAATGGACAGCTATTATAAGATATTTCTTAATATTATATTCTTTTTTTTTTCCGCACCCGGCGGCTATTATATATAGGTCTCGTTTATTTTACCGATTCGAGTTTTCAGTTTTCAATTTTAAGTTTTTACAGTAAAAAATTCTCAAAAAATGTCACATCTAACTTTTTTTGCTACAATGAAAAACTCTCAAAAAAATATGACATCTCAACTCGAATTAAAAACTCAAATTCACAAAATGAACGAGGCTATAATATCCTCGGTACATGCACAAAAGCAGTAGTAAATTAATTATTTATCACTGTTGCACATGACTTTGAAGATTGACTTGGAAGTTTCGAAGTATTGGTCTTGGCGTGCGTTTGAATCTTAGATGGTTTTATAATAATGCTTGTCGTTTTGTAGCATTTGGCTAAAGTTTTAGAATATTTCAAGTCATACCTTGGTGAATGACCGGGTATATTGTTTGTTTGGAAATTATAGGTCAATTGTCAAAACATTTGAAAGTAAATAAATAACCCATTTAGTAAATACTAGTTAGAAGCACGCGCGGAGAGTGTATTTCTTGCATTTTTTGCATACGAAAATTTAAAATTTCTTTTGAGTTTTAGTTCTACTTATTTTTTATTCTCCTAGTTGAGTTTAATAAAACAAAAAAAAAATTGTTAGAGCACATTTTAAAAGGGAAAAAAAATTAATAGAGAACATTAGATAATAAATTATTTATAGGGTACGTATAAACTTAAGCCTCGTTCATTTCACTGATTCGAATTTTCAGTTTTAGGTTTCTACAGTAAAAAGTTCTCAAAAAATGTCACATTTAATTTTTTCTATTACAGTGAAAAACTCTCAAAAAATGTCACATCTCAACTCAAATTAAAAACTCAAATTCACAAAGTGAACGAGGCCACACCCTTGGTACATGCACAAAAGCAGTAGTAAATTAATCAATGGCTGTATTTATCACTGTTGCACATGACTTTGAAGATTGACTTGGAAGTTTCGAAGTATTGGTCTCGGCGTGCGTTTGAATCTTAGATGGTTTTATAATAATGCTTGTCGTTTTGTAGTATTTGGCTGAAGTTAGAATATTTCAAGTCATACCTTGGTGAATGACCGGGTATATTGTTTGTTTGGAAATTATTGGAATTATAGGTCAATTGTCGAAACATTTGAAAGTAAATAAATAACCCATTTGGTAAATACTAGTTAGAAGCACGCGCGGAGCGTGTATTTCTTGCATTTTTTGCATACGAAAATTTAAAATTTCTTTTGAGATTTAGTTCCACTTATTTTTTATTCTCCTAGTTGAGTTTAATAAAACAAAAAAAAAATTTGTTAGAGCACATTTTAAAAGGGAAAAAAATTTAATAGAGAACATTAGATAATAAATTATTTATAGGGTACGTATAAACTTAGGTCTTGTTTATTTCACTGATTCGAGTTTTCAGTTTTAGGTTTTTACAGTAAAAATCTCTTAGAAAATGTCACATCTAACTTTTTCTGCTACAGTGAAAAGCTCTAAGAAAATGTCACATCTCAGCTCGAATTAAAAACTCGAATTCGCGAAATGAACGAGGCCTTAGATAGTATTATATGTATAATGATTAAGATAATTTATTTCAAGCCTTACTTTTATTCCCTTTTACTAAAAGCAGCTTTAAGTTCTAATTATATTTCGATGTGCTTCTATGAAATATTAAAAGAAAACCATGCATCAAATAAACTGTGGAGGAGTTTTTCACCCAAAAAAAAAGCAAAAGGAAAAAATAAAATTAAATAATAAAAGAAAGAGGGACTTTCTCTAGTGGGGTAGGGCTAGGTTTTTTTTTTCCGAAAGGAAAGCAGGATTTTATTAGGCTTATCGGCCAAAATGAAATGAGAAACAAAACGCGGGGACAATATCAATTTCAACCCAGTCCAAGTTTACGGAAAAAATTGAGTTATTCTTTAACAACGAAACTCAGAAAAAATTTGACCTCGAGTTACAATTTTATTTAAGTTTATGTTGTTTTGTAAAATTTGAGTTTGAACTCAAGTTTAGAGCTAAACTCAAGTTCAACTTTCCCCTTCAACTCGAGTTCATAAACTCGAACTTAAGTTAATGAACAATACTTTTTCTATTCTTAAAAATACCATAACTTTTTCGTTTTAATTCTGATTGAGATGACTTTTTTTTCTATACATTCATAACGAAAAGACGGATAAAACCCCACCCATATACCTTTTTAAAATTTTTCATCACCATTGAGTTTTTATTAAAATACTATCTAAATACAAATTTAAGTTTTGACCCACCCAAATACAAACTAAAATAGATTCTCAATTTAAATCAGAACTCAAATGTGTACATCCAAATACAAACTCAAGTTACAATTTCAACTCAAGTTATAACTCAAATTTAATTTAAAATCATCACTCAAATCACCTTAACTCAAAAATGTAAAAGGCCAAACGTGGGCAACCATGTTCCCACTCCTAGAAACATGAGTGCAGCAACCACCATTGACATGGGAAAGCAAAAGCTTCACATCATTGATAAGTGGGCCTTCAGAAAAAATAGCCCGACAGACTAGGGGTGTAAATTAGCCGGGTAGGGTCGGGTTGAGCCAAAAAATTGAGCCGACCCGATCAGTGCAGGTTGAGAAAACTTTAGGCCACGACACTCTCTTAAGTCTACAAACCCGCAACCTTTCGGGTGACCTCGGGTAGGGTCGGGTTACTCGGGTTGGTGAAAACCAATTTTAATCTATGATTTCATACCTCTTTTAACAATCCAAAAGCATAAACAACAAGGTGATGAATAAAATCTTGAGAAGCAAAATAGTCCATATAAAATAAACAGTTTAATCCAGAATAAATAGTCCATATAAAGATAAACAGTCCATATAAAGATAGTCGTAAAATATAAAATTTAGTCCACTCCAAACTGTTTAATCCATAATAATAGCACCTTCATTCCCAACTTGCCCCTCATGTCTTGCAACAGAATTTGACAAATCTTGAGAAGAAAACATAACAAAAAAAATCATCAGAATCAAGTTTAGGACAACAAAATAAACAAGGAGATGAAATAAAATTTTGAAAAAATTAGTAAAGCGTAAAAAGATTACTCGACTCAATATCTTCATATTCATTAAAGTCGTCCACGTCAATAAGGTTGATGTGCTCACGACTACACAACCAATTTTGTGTACAAATCAATGCCTCCACCATCTTGGGGCTCAATGAACTCCTAAAGGGATCGAGGATGCGGCCTCCGGTACTAAAAGCAGATTCTGAGGCTACCGTTGAAACATGAATGTCAAGAATGTCTCTTGTAACTAGTGAGAGAACCTTGTAATTAGTTGCATTATTCTTTCACCAATCTAAAACATCAAAATTTGACCGAGTTGGATCCTCCATATGGGTCTGTCAAGTATCTGTCCACATCATTTTTGTACTCATTACATTCTTCTCCTTCATTTTCCTAACAAACTTGCTCCACAAACACCCTTTTCCTTCTACTTCCGTTTTTGCCTCCCCACTACTTTCATTAGCCACAGATTCACCCTTATCCCCACTATAAATCTCATGCAGCCGGTACATAGTATCCTTCACATTCTTTGCTAATGTTTCAGAAGTGCAAGAATCATACACTATAGAGAAACAATATGTCAAATAATCCATTTTGTACCTAGGATCAAGTACAATAGCCACAAAGAGAAGACAATTTATATTCTCAACATTCCCCCAATACTTGTCATACTTCCTTTTCATACTCACAGCCATGGATGCAAGCATTGAATCCTCTTGTTTGCTTAATTCAGATAGCTGGTTTTACATCTCACAAAGCTCATGAAAGTAAGAATTTGAAATGACATTCAAAATGGCACTAAACTTCAAAGTTATATCATAAAAAGTCTTCAGAAATTTTATAAACACCTTAACATTATCCCAATCATCATCATGTGGCGGGCCAATCTTCCATCCCC